GAGGGTCGACTGTATAAGATACTCAATAAGCGCAGTTTAACCTATACGACAGCACTTTCTCATACCAAGTTGTTTTGTACCGACAAGGAAACGTTATTGACGATACATAGCTGGTCTTGACACGACATAATTGCCTTTTGACAGTTCTAACTAGAGTTGAACAATAAGCATATTACCGATTCGTAATAAAAGCGCGGGAAAAAAAAAAAGGATGTTGACGCGCTCAGATAAATTCGCACGTCCCGTGACTAAAATCGGGAGATTTTCCTTTCTCATGCATACTGATTGCGAATTGATATCTTATCACATGATACACATGATACATGCATATGCAAAAAAAAAATCAGAATTTTCATATAAATGATGAATATTTAACTCTCACATGTCAATATGCAAAACAAAGGTATTCGTAAAAAAGATCGAGAACAGGCGCCTATTTGTAAAAGATTCAAACTGTTGCAAAGTAGACGATGATAATTGGAGTTTCAGACTGTGGTTTTCTCGATTTACTAAGGGGATGATCTTAGGTTGCGAGCAACGCTACTGTGAAGAAGCCCTGGTAACAGTGACAATTATGTGAAAACAAAGAAAATATCAATAGTCCGCTTATGCTTATTGATGCACAGAAGCGTTGCATGCTGCAAACAGCGCAAAATGAACATCACGCCACAGAAAATGGATGACAGGGGTTCTGAAATGGTAGCAGCAATATCTACCTATCAGCAGAGATTCTATTCGTGTTAACGCTGGTTGAATTAGTTAGTCTTTTCTTATCCCAGCTAGTAAATTATCTCGAAAAGTTCTTTTCAATTACGTTTGATCGCCTTTTTAATATACGAGTGCTAGTCTCTCTTAACGGTTTTGTGACGAAATTCAAATGCTTGTTTTCCGGCGTTTTGTGTAAAATTTTATATACCCGAGTTTAATTGGGGGAGGGTTAAACTAGAGTACCAAACCAAACCTTTTTAAAGTTTCGTTAGATTGTTTGAGCTCAATTACCAGAAATTGCTTTTCTTATGTAAGTTTGCAATCTTTCTTAACACGTTGTTTTTGTTGGGAAGAAAATATGTGGCGTTCACCCTGAAATGGCTTTATACTTTTCATACTATTGTGGCTCGACTAAAAATTTGACCCCCGAAATCGTTTGTGGCAGAATTCTATTGCAGAAATGCCCTCAAAACGCACATTAGTTAGTATTTCAACAAGTAAAACTCGGGATTCCACACACCAATTGAAACAAAAAACCTACAAGCAAAATGAGCGAAACCGAAGTCAACCCCGTTTCTATCTATAACAAAATCATTAGTTTAAAAGTCAAACCACAAAACAGCGCAAAGTCTAATGGTTCGGTTGAACCGCAATCTGTGAATGTCTTACGAGTCGAAACCGCGTCTGTGTCCAAAGAACTTGGACGGTTTCGTGCTTGTGATAGTGTTTCCTGTTTCTACTGTCGTGAATGGGCACTGTATATTTATAAAAGGTGTTTCTCTTGGATGGCAAAGGGTCAAAGCGGGGATACTGTAAAACAGATAGAAAATGGTACTGGTCCCAAAGAGAATGCGGCGACTATGTGTCAGTCACTCCATCAGCTTTGTCAAAAGTACGCCGACGATACGGGAACTTTTGTCGATCCGGGCGATCTTGCTGATGAACTCATTAAGCGTGTATTTGAATGGATCAAAACACCGAGCGCGGGGCCTCGCCATGACGTGTTCGCGTTTGTCGATTTTGAGATTGCGTTGCAAAACATGCCTTGTCTTGACAAGGAATCGAGTCCAATAAAACTACTACAGGCAATCATACTCGATAAATCTCACTGTCAGATCTCCAAAGATTCGTTTCATCTTTTGAAGAACATAACAAAGGCTCAACTGACTGATCAGGTGCAACCAGTTTGTCATCACACTCGTCCTGCTTGGAAAATTCCGAACGATCTAGATGTGGTCCGACAAGTTTTCAATGATCAGATGCGAGTTGAAAAGTCAAAGCATGATCAGGCGGTCAAAGAAATTTTATCAGAAGTCTGGGGACATACTACCGTGTTTCTGGCCGAAGTGCAGAGATTGGCGAGCGTGAGGGAAGCGACATTTGGAAAGGGGTGCATGGAAAGATTGGATTCCTTTATGAAAGAGTATCATGAAGAAGTAATTCCTTTTCAGGATTATTGGACGCCTATAGCCGAGACCTACAAGAAGACTGCGAGAACCAAGAAAGGCAATAAATTAAACACATCCGATTCGACTATGAATGCTGTAGATGACGTTGACGCCGCCTTTTCCGTATACTTGAATAATGCTAGGACGATTCTGATGTTCTGGGAAGAGGGCTTTGTGAACAAATCTTATGCTGACGCAGCAAATTTTGTCAATGAGTTTGTCCAACAAATGACGAAATATATGGAAAAGACGCCTGCTCGAGTTGAAGAAGAAAATATGGCGACTATTGGTGAATTGGTCAAGAAGTCTCAATTGGTAAAGACGGCCCTTGAGAATATTGGGCCTCGAGTGAACGCAAGAATAGCGGATATGCAAGCGGAGGTTACAAAACGGAATAGAGAGATACTGGAAGAGATTGACGCTCTAGAGGAAGCATGGGAGAGTGAATCTCAAAAGACATTACAAGGTAGATTAGAAAAGGCTAATAACAAAGAATTCCGTAAACGGACCAAGAAGCTAGAGAATCTGTTACAATCAGCCAGGCAATGGACAATCAGTTCAGTGGGTACACTGTTTTCTGCGGTAGACTTTGCTCATCTCTTCATTGGGTGTTTGGAAGTGTTGCTAATGGAAGGAGAAGTATGGGAATCAGTACAGATTCGGAAACATTGCAAAAAATATGAAGGAATTGGCAAAAAATTGGACGTCCGAAGGCAACAAATTATGAAAGATTTTAAAGAAGGTATTACGACTGGTCGTCGGGTGTTGGCCGGGGTGATTGGACGTTTGTTTTTGAGAGAAGCTTCGAGATTGGTGGAAGAGACAATGGCTCTGAAAAAACAAGACGAGTTTTTACAGTCTATAGACCAAACAAAGGCCGAGACTGGAAAAAAGAAGAAGGGAGGCAGCAATGGGAGTAATGCTACAGTTTCTGCAGTAAACGATTTGCCGAGCGGTGAGTCAAAGACAAACAACTCTGGAACGGTAAATAGTGTAGCTCCAACCGCTTCTGTTGAATCTGCTCCTGTTGTTGAAGTATCCAAGAAGAACAAAAAGAAAAAGAAGAAGCGCAATAATAGTACGGATTCTACCGATCAATCAGATAACAAAAACAAATCATCTACGCCTTTGGCGCAGAAAGGAAGTCAGGCTGCTGATGATCAAGTTACGAAAAATAAGCGAAACGAATCTCAAAAAACGGCGCAAAAGTCATACGAGGACACAGCCACGAGTGATCCTGTCATTACGTCTACATCAGAGACGTCAAACAAGCGTAACTCGGAGGAGATTTCATCGTCATCCTCGCGTAAATCAAAACCCTCTGTAGAACTTCCCCCGCTCAATGGTTCTCAGTCAAAAGTGGAAGACATGGATGAATCTCCTCGTACTCCGTCAAAACCGCCGGGTCTTGATAATGAGTGGTCAAACGAGAAACTAGACAAAGCGTCGGCCGAATATCTTGAATATGTTAGTACATTCGATGGGGTTGGTCGATCTGATCTAATCGTGCTCGTACACAATCTACAGAAGGAGAATACCAATTTAGTGTCTACTTTGATCCAAATGCAGCAAGAGGTGAAGGGAATGACGGCACGATATTCTGAACTTGTAGAAATGGCCCGAGAACGCGAAGTACAGACCGTGCAATTGTTACAGGCGCGTAAGCAGCAAGAAATGGAGGAGGCTGCTCGATATATTCAGATGCTCGAGATGAAGATTGCTCATTTAGAAAAGAATCGTCACGGAAGTAGTCAGCCAGAAAGTCCGTTAACGGAATCGGCACCGCATAGCCCAATTCCAACAATTGGCGGTTTGCCCAATTCTCAAGCCGGAAGTACGAGTTCGTTCACGATGAATTATCAATTTGCCAATACGTCTCAGTCTTTTCTTAACCCATGGCGCGGTGCATCCACCACACCAAGAACGACCAGCCTTCGGTGCGGCAATTGTGGTGAACAGGGACATGTTAGTGCAGACTGTTCTTCAGGATGCCGTTACTGTGGTGGTCTGAATCATTTGAGTGAGAATTGTGGTCAGTCTGGGATTGATGTAAGCATTGGATTAGGCGTTGCGATGGGTATGCTGCCTGCTGACGACGAGAGTTCCGGTGATGCTAGTGGAAACAAGGAACGGATTGAAGAGATAGACGAATAAGAATGACGTACAATGTTTAATCAGTACCGATAATGTTGATTTAATAGTTGATGTTTATGTATAAGACGATCTGCTTGTATTTATGATTGACATTGCAATCTCTTTGCGAACTAATGATTGTAAATAGTAATAAACCGAAAGAACTTTTTGTTTGTTTGACGAGTTCTGGTGACTCTAGGAAGCAGGGTTCTTCCCCGAGCATACAGAACAGATTCGATTTATTTGACATAGTTGTTTACCATCACTTTTCCCTGTACAGAAATATAACCGGTGACCAAAAGAATAAAATAAAAAATTATGGTGTAAAAATACAACAACCCACATGTTTTGTTGTAAGAAAATTCCATGATCTTTGTTATTATTGATGTATTTATTATAATCCTTTAACAAATTGACATTACAGCTCTCAAGACACGAATAGGAAAACGAGTAAACATCAACAGTTATTCCCACACGCGAAGAATTGGTTTCGCATAATCAATTTCCAGAGCTCTTGGCTCTCACGATTGGAGAGCTATTATCAAAACTCCGAGCAATAACCCATCTCATATCATCGCCGTCCGAGAATAAACGCGTAAGCATTCTTTTGTAAAATACTCACCGGAAAACGGGTCATCAACTCTGATGGGGTATTCCAACGCCGTAGAGCATCAGGGTTTAAAAAATCAAAAGTAGATATTGTGACTAGTGTTTCTCCAACTTATTAGAGCCATATTTAGCGACAGCATTGATGAGAAATTGGAAAAGAGGGGGCAAAGCGTTAATATTAATTGAACGTTTTGTGATTAAAAAGTCCCATCTTTTTGTTATTCGTGTCAAAGAATTGCACCATCGTTTTAAGGTGAATGGTTATTTGTGTAACAAAATATTATCCCGACTTTGCAGTGCATTACTTTCTGACGTGTAGTCAATTTTGGAGTGTTTATTATACATTATTGTTAAATACCGTCACTCTCGATATATGACGGTTTTCATTTCAGCAACCGCATCTGCTGCTGCTGCTGCTGCTGCTGCTGCTGCTGCTCTGCTCTGCTCTGCTCTGCTCTGCTCTGTTTGCCAACCAACCAACCATTTGATATTATTGACAAGTTAAATTCAGGCTTTCATAACCGTGTGTACATAAATTTTATTATTTACACATTTTAATACAGCATTCTCAACTTTTCACCCACAAGTACAACCTGTTACTACTACTGCATATGCATAAACCTTTCTTGTAAGAATAAGTCTGGTTTTGGCAACATTTAGATAACCTGTTTATGAATCCTGAGCTTTTGCATTTGGGCAAAGGAAAAGTCCTTAATGCACTTATCCGAGAGTCAGCTTAATCCTTTAGTTTAGCAAAACTAGTGTGATGCTACGTATTAATATAAATTTTGAATGAAGGAAATAGAATTACCATTGCAAGCAGATTTTGACACGCTCTCAAATGGTCACCGTGACGACTAATTCCACTATTAACTGACCCGACTCGACCCCCCGCTACATGTTCAACGATGACAAAACTCTAAAAGCCCAAATTACGTTAATTTCGTTCCGACGTTTCAGAGACTGGGTCACGCGCTACAACTTGGCGAACGTTATACAAACTTTTTATGTCAATTCAAGGGGCATGCACCTTTGTAAGAGAGCCCTTTAATGGAAGGTAGATATTAGGCAAACATCAGAGTATCCGAACACAATGTTTACTCTTATTATCCGCCCTTGTCCTGAAGTATTAACCATATTTACGTTTATGAATAGCTAAAGAGTCAATATCAACAAGGTAAACAAACGCATATTATCATGTTGTATTACTAATTACTAATAGAAAATATACAGCTATGCTAGATAAGCACGTGTTTTACACACTATTCGTCTTAAACTCGAAACCTTGATAATCTTGCTCTTGTGACCACACAAATAAACAAACAAGTGGTGACCTAAAGTTTCAAGTCTTGGCTTGTTTGGAAGTGTTGTCAAGCCCATTAATTATATTTAACACGAGTAAACGCATGACCGCATGATTACTTGATTGGTGTGATATTTTTCTAAAGTTGACAGAAAATTTAATAGCGCAGTCTCGGTTTACCACTTTGCAAGCATATATATCATTCCGTTTAATGATGCGTCCAATTATTGTTTTAGAAAAAAAAAAAAAGGGGGGGGGGGGTCCAAGTCTCCCGTGACGATTGTCCGCTCTCCATCATTTTTAGTCCGGCGGCACTACAAATGAAAAATACAATGACCTGCTCAATTAATAATCCATCTCTCATGTATAACGCAGCCATGTTGTTCATGACACTGGAAGGTGTTTTACGAAAATTCTATAGCGGATATAATTAAATGCGCGCGACATATTATTTGTTTACAAACGGTTATTCTTTGATGAACTCTATTCTCTCTCTACATGATCCCTATTGATCTCTAAAACGTTTTATTGTAATGCAAGTTTTTTTTCCACCTGCTGACTAAGAATTTCACGTGTTTAATCAAAGTTTTCATTCGTCGATTATTATTTTTTTTTCCCCTTCCATCTCTTATGCGTGAGAGTGGGATGGATGACACAACGCAATCGATGAAAGGGGATGAAAGATCAACCATTCATTGTGATAACATCATTCTCTGGACATGTCATCTTTCGAAACATGAGATCGAAACGAATTATGCCTGTTGTTTTTTTTTTGATCGCTGAACCCGCCTTGGAAAAAGTACCGTACAAAAAGTAAATACACCAATCCAGAAAACGTATCTTGTTTATATGTGTGTGACATGAATGCGTCCACACAAAATTTATTGGTATTACGTAAAAAAATTGTTCAAAGAAGGGGGGAGTTTTCATATGTTGCATGATGAAAAGATTTAGAAGGGTGGGCGGTCGAACCTTCTTTTTGTGGAATTTAAAGAACCGTAGTAACAATGCGCCCACTTCTCAAAATGTCTTGTCAACAAATAGTTTTGCAATCATCTTTTTTGAAAGAGCAAATTAAGCGAGAGAGCATGCTATTGGGTGTTGCTAGTAATCTCGAACGAATGGGCGTGTCACAGTTGTATAATGCGGACAATGCAGTGTCTGCATGCAGATGTACTGGCGGACTTTCTGTATCGGGTACAAGTTAACGACCAAAGTTTATGCTATGGATCTCGGCGTGCTAACCAAAGAGAGTGAAAACGGTATGTCATTTTTGACATTCGTAAAGTGTATTTATATTTCATGGTCATTTCAACGGATCACACAAGTCTGAATAATTAATTAATAGACAAGCAATTTAGATGAACCATACGATTGTTACTTTTATTTGGGTGGTTTGCTCGGATAGAGCGCACCTTTTTTAGAGATTTAGGGGTTTTTTTCCTTTTTTTTGTGCTTTTTTTTTTGCTTGTTTGAAACATACTTTTTTTTTCCTGGCGTAAGAAGACAAAAAGGGCAATTTTCCAAAATCAAGTAATTGTACAAAAGGGTTGTTGACAAGGGAAAAAAAAAAAAAGAACTAAAAGGAAATGAGAAAAATGGGATTGGGAAATGAAAAAAATAGGAAATAAGGAAATAGGAAAGGGGGAATTGGAGAATGGGGAACGGAGGAACGGGGAAACGGGGGAACGGGGAAACGGGGAAAAGAAAAAGGAAAAAGAGAAAAAAAAACGGTGAAGAGAAAAAAAAAAAAGAGACCTAATTAAACAGATCAAAGAAGAATGTTCATAGAAAAAATTAAAAGATTTGCCCAAAAGTTCGTTGTTGCTAGATATACTACAAATGCGATGCAAGCTGATGTGTGTGAAAAACTAATGAAATAAAGGGATGACCTGGGACTTCCTTTTTTTTTAAAGTATTTACAAGAGCAAATGGTGAAAGAGTAGAAGAAATGTAGAATCGAAGAGTGGAAGAGAGAGAGATAAAGTAGAGACTGTTTTCGTGAGAAAATATTAGACCAAAATAATAATAAAAATAAAGAAACCAAAAATAACCATTATTAACCGATCATTACACACCCTCCGCCAATAACTGGACATCAGAGATACATACAACACGTCAACAACTCTCTCTCTCTCTCTCTCTCTCTCTTTGCAGCAAACAAATTCGACTCGTTCTACTCTCTTTTTTTTTTTTTTTTCAACCAGGTGATCGCGCGTGGTCACAACTTGTTGATAGCATCCTACAAAGTTGTCTTTTTTGTTGGTCTTCGCATAGCAGCAGAGCGTGATGAGGGAGGCGGCGCTGTCGCACGACGACGTGGCGCACGTTGTTCTTTCTTTTCTTCTTTTTTGGCGTATCCGGTTAAATAACGCATATAGAGGAATGTTTCGGCAATCCCAACTACTACGCTGCCAGTCAGAGCAAGCAAGACACGCTAAAAGATAGAGTTGTTTCTTTTAGTAAGACATCCTAATGCGCGCGCGCGTGTGTTTGTAAGTAAGCAAGTAAAAAAACATCAATCTATATTTACCATGCCAGTGTCTCCAGTGATTGTCTGAGCAACGTGATAAACGGCGGCAAAGACGGCCACCATGGTGAACGTGATGTTAATAATGGCAGTCAACTGTCCTCGTATGCTGGAGAATTCTTCCGTGTCAAGAAGTTTGAATGTCTCGACATCGTACGAAGATGCGACGTTGCTGATCATGCGAACGTATTCTTTGTTTGCTTGCTCTGCGAGGATCTGTTCGAGGCGTGCCATTAATTGAGGGTTCTAATTATGGACAGTAAATGAGAAATGGAAATGATTGATCCGTTAGCCAAAATATTACAAAAGTGGTAATTCACACGCTATGGTTATTAATGGTTATTATTCTTTATTATTCTTTATTATTCTTTATTAATTGTTGCTAATTGTTGCTAATTGTTGCTAATTGTTGCTAATTGTTGCTAATTGTTGTTAATTGTTGCTATTGGTTATTTTGCGGTTATTATTATTATTAAAAAATTTTTACCTTTACTCGGTCTTTACGTTTTTCAACGAATATGCCACTGCCTTTTAATAGCTCATGTAACCAGAACCGCGAAAAGCCTGTAAATATAACAT